TGGCTGGTGGAACAAGGTGTGGGGTGGTCACCGCTGAGCCCCAGTCCCATGTAGTGCCCTCGGCCACCTGCTCAGATTCAGCAGCCCCTGAGGGGGGGGGGGCGACGTGTAGGGATACTGAGGCATGGCTGCATGGATCATGTCTTGGAGCCAGGAGGAAGGACTGCAACGGGGACAGGGATGTCCCAGGGACTTGGCTGCTACTGCTATGTACAGAGGAAGGGTCTGGCCCGGGTTCAGGCAGCACCCCCTCCTCACCAGCTCCCCAGCACCGTCCCTGAGCCCCCTCCTGTCTGTCGTACCGCGGTGCTAGGTGTGTTTCGCTGAGTTCTTGATGGATATTTCCATGAGGCCATCTGCTAGCTTCTCTGCTCCCTACCATCTGGCTGAGGTATGGGGGGAGCCCCTGTGGGAGAAGAGGGGGCCCCCTTGCCTCGCTGACCAACTCCACCAACAGGAACCCCCATTCTCCCACCCACCCACCCCACACACTGACAGAGGTGCTCGCATCCCTGCAGAGACCAGGGGATGATGGGGCAGCCCCAGGATCTGGTTTTGGGGGTTGTGTCCTGGGATCTGTGGAAAAAAACAGGAGCAACTGGTGCGCAGAATCTCCCTTGTGGCCAGCGGTTGATTGGAAGCAGGGGCCTGAGTCTCGGGGGAATCTAAGGGACCTCCCACCCCATTGGTTTGGAATCAGCCCTCGTGACCTTGACTCTCCTGGAGCCACTGTGTTACCCAGTAGGACCCCCAACATCAGGTCATATATGGTTAGGGTGGGTCAGAATTGGGGGGGCATGCTCCTGCTGTACCACTGGGGGCCCCATAGACCAGGCTGTGCTAGCACAGGGCAGATCATTTGTTGGGGGGCCATATATGGTGGTACTCAGGGCTAATTCCTGGCTCTGTACTCAGGGAGCACTCCTGGTGGGGCTTGGGGAATACTAGAGGTGTGGGGATTGAACCTGGGTCAGTCTTGTTCAAGGCGAGTGCCCTCCCCACTGTGCTATTGCTCTGGCTTTATGGGGCAGCATTGGATGCTTGAGCATTGGAGGTTTTTTTGTATGTGTGTATTTGTGAGTGTGTGTGTGTGTGTGTGTTTGGGCCACACTTGGTAGTACTCGGGTTACTCCTGGGTCTGCACTTAGGAATCACTCCAGGTGGCTCAGGGAACCTTATGGGATGCCGGGGATTGAAACTGTCAGTTACGTGCAAAGTAAACACGCGCCGTCCCCCACCCCCCCACTGTACTCTAGGTCCAGTCCCTGAGACCTGAGTTTTGTTGTCCCTACAGTTAGAGTGGTCCTCACAGGGCCATCTCAGTGCTCATGTGGATACTTTGGAAGCACAGTGACTGCACCCCAACCCCCCACTGAAGCACCCAAGACCATCCAACGCCTTGTTCGGTGGTCACCTCTAGCCTCTTCTTCCTCCCACCATCACTGGTCGGTGAGCTGAGTTCTGGTGTGCGGCTGAGGGCCAGGTATTGCCCAGTGCTGCCCTCTGGTCTAGCTGAGTTGTTCAGACACCTCAGGCAAGCGGCAACAGCCAGTTACTCACACTCTTCTCTGTCTCACTCCCCCTAAGATGGTGCCCTCCTCTTTCACTCACATTGCAGTCAAAGGCAAGATTTTATTCTCTTAACGAATCGTGTCATATTCCACTGTGCAAGGAGCTGGTTGCACACCATCATGGTGTGACTGTGTGTGAGCACATGATTTGTGTATGCATCCTTGAGTGTGGAGGGCACGGTGGATGCACTTGGGAGTGATTCTGTGTGCACATGGTTGTGTCTGCATAGGTGAATGTGGTTCTGTGTGATTGTGTGTGTACATGATGGCTCAGGCATGTGTGTGTGTGTGCTTCTGTGTGATTGTGTGTGTGCATGTGTGATTGTGTGGAAATTATTTGTGCACATTGTCATGTGTACAGGTGTGAGTGTGGTTCTGTGTGATTGTGGGTGGTTGTGCATGTAGTTGTGTAGGGTAATTGTGTGCATGTGAATGTATGAGTGTGTATGGTTCTGTGTGGTTGTGTGGGTGGTTGTGCATGTAATTATGTGTGGACTGTCTGTGGTGCACATGACCAATGCATGTATCTGTGTGATTGCATGTATATGTGTGTTCTGTGAATATTTATCATTTGTGTATCACACCCATTTGAAATAGCTGGGTCACAATGGCTGAGAGACAGGAAGGCAAAAAAAATGTGCTTGAGAGCTGAGGGTCTGAGTATCTCCCACAGTGGAGTCAGCGCACTCCATGGTGCCCCCCGCCCTCCTCAGTTCACCCTGTTCCTAACTCCCCATAACCAGTGCTTGGCGTGGAGCTTTGCTGGCCTGCCTGGACTGGGGGGTGGGGGGGCGGTGGGCATCCCCAAGCCGTGGGGTTGGTTCCCCTGAGCCCTAGGAGCTGGAAGTGGGGGTGAGTTGCCCCAAATCTGTGCCACTGGCTCGTGCCTTCTGGGGTGTTGGTGGAGTCCCTTATGCAGTCTCGCAGACCACCCATCTCTGCCTTGGTGGGGCGAATTGGGAGAGGCTGGGGTGCAATTTCCCCAGCCTCTTGTTCCATGGCCTTCAAAGGGGGTGATTTGTGGGGGTAGAAACAGCACACGGGGCGAGGGGATGCAGTACACTTGCTGGGCTGCAGAAATGAGCTCCACATTGCTGAGTGGGGAGGAAATCATCCTTGTGAGCTGCTTTAACAAAGCACCCCAGTGGGGTATGGAGCTCAGGGGCCCCCTCAGGGCAAACCTGCCTCAGCTTCCCCAGCCCATCCCACCCCCTCTCCAGAGCCTGCCTCTGCGTGACTTGTGTGTCCTTCTCACCTTAAGGATCAGAGTTGGGGACACTTGCTGGGGGCTGGTTATTTCCATGTGGAAGAGTTGACTCTGCCGGGGGTGGGTGCTAGGTGGGTGGGATGCCAGCCAGCTCCACCAGCTGCAGAAACCAGGAATGCGGTCAGGTTCTGCACCCTGTACCCCCGCACCTGAGTAGGGAGAGTAGACAGCCCGCACTGCATTATTTCCAGTTCCGTTTCTGCCTTTTCATAACCCCAGCTTGCCTCTCCCACCCATGCCGACCCTGTTATTGAGCATCAGTCTTGCTCCTTATGCAGGCTCTGAATTGGTGTACCTGATAGAATTCACTGTGTTTCATGGGGAGTCAGGAGTTGGGACACACCTGGGGCTCTTCCCGGCACTGTAATCAGGGACGCCCCCTGGTGGGACTCAAGGGCTATTTCTGACTTTATGCTCTGGGGCGCCCCCTGGTGGGACTCAGCGGGCAATGCCGTCATCTACATGTGAAGCAAGTACAAGTCCCGTCAGCCCTGTCCTCCCTCTCTGACCTCTCTGGAGAACTTTAGACGTGGCTATTTACATGGTGTTTCACAATCATTATTTTTGTTGATCCTAGATCTGGCAGCCAGGGATGAGGTGTTCATTGCACAGTTGTTGGTAAACCCTTTCTCCTGTTCTATTTTTTGCTGCTTATTATGATGTACCAAAACACAGCCCTTTGTGTTTCTCTTGCAGATGAGGAGGAATAAGTATTCTGTGGGGTGGAGTGTTCTGGGTTTTTGCAATTTCTTCCGAGATTTCTTCCAAGTTTTAACGGAAGCTGATGATGAGAATTTCCATTTTCTGCTTAGGCTAAGTTTTAGAGCCATGCTTTTGGGATGGAGTGATAGCACAGCGGGTAGGGCATTTGCCTTCCACGCGGCCAACCCGGGTTCGATTCCTCTGTCCCTCTCGGAGAGCCCGGCAAGCTACCAAGAGTATCCCGCCCGCACGGCAGAGCCTGGCAAGCTCCCTGTGGCGTATTCGATATGCCAAAAACATTAGCAACAAGTCTCACAATGGAGACATTACTGGTGCCCGCTTGAGCAAATCGATGAACAACGGGAGGACAGTGCTACAGTTCTTTTGGTTTCCAAAGTTTAGGATTCTTCTTGCAGTTCCCTCCCCGTCTCCTCCTCAGCAATCTGCAGGCACCATTGTAGGGTCTTCTGGGCAGGCAGGGGTCTTTGAAAAGAAAGGGCATGATTGGAGCAAGAGAGGTAACACAGAGGTTAAGGCACTTGCCTTGGAAGTAACTGACCCTGGTTTGATCCCTAGCACTTCCTAGGATCTCCTGAGCAGCACCAGGAGTGGTCCCTGGGCGTGGTGAGGAATCAGCCCTGAGCAGAGAACTGGGACTGATAATCAAGCCCAGGTCCAGGAATAAGTCCTGAGCAGCACTGGGTACGCGCTTTGGGGAGCCCCCCAGTGTTGGGGGGGTGTTGGGGGTGGAATCCAGGCCTTGGCAGCCTTCTAGCCAAAATACGTCCCCCCCCTCACTTATTTGTTGTTGTTGCCATGTGGGTTCAGGAGGCACCTCCGTGACCAGATTTTGCCCTGACTATCTGCAGTTACCCAGATTATTCTCTTCCCATCCCTCCCCCAGCAGAGCGTTTTTATGGAAATCGCGGCTTTTCTTCCCTTCCCAAGGTGGCTCTGAAGGTGAGCTGTCCCCAGCGGTTGGAAATGCAAGGAAATAAACGTGTAAAAATAGAGTCACAATTCCTCAAAGTCCCTGTCAGAGCACAGCCGCCAGGACAGCCCTGAACCAGCTCCAGGCAGCTAGCAGGGTGATTGTGCTGCCGCTGCGGCCCCTAGCCCTACCCGGCCGCGTCTGCGGGATGTACGTGTGTGTGTGGGGGGGGGGGGGGTGGGGATAGGCGTTGGTCATGGGACTCCGCCAAACACGCCGTCCAAAGAGGCCAGGGATCCCGATGGACAGCTTGGCAGCCCCGCAGTGACCCTGGGATGCCTATTGGTGGTAGTGGGGGCAGGGCAGGGAAGGCTCCGCCCGAAGGGATTTGTGCAAATGGATTCACTCTCACCCTCCCTTTCACACAGGGGTGTGGAGACTGAGCCCCCACCCGGCCAACAGTGGGCTGGGCCGGGCCGGACGTGGCCTACGGGGTGGCAGATGCCGACCATGTCTTGCGTCCTTGCAGGGGTCCCCCGGGCCAGCCTGGACAGCCTCAGCCGCACCCTGGGTGTCCTGGAGGAGCACGTCAACAGCTCCAGGCGGCACCCGCGGCGGCGCAGGCACACTGCTGAGGACGACTACAACATCGAGGTGCTGCTGGGCGTGGACGACTCCGTTGTCCAGTTCCACGGGAAGGAGCATGTGCAGAAGTACCTGCTTACGCTCATGAACATCGTAAGTGGAGGGGCAGGCGTGGCGGGGCCTGGCTGGGTTGGACAGGGCACGGTATGCTGGGGCTGGACAAGGCAAGCAGGGAGTGGTCTGGTGGTGGGCGTGGCTGGCGCTGGTGGGCGTGGCTAGGGAGGGGCGGGATCTGGCCTGTTTGTGTGCTCGGACTGGACAAGGCAAGCAGGGCGGGGGCGTGGTCTGGTGGTGGGCGTGACCAGTGCTGGAGGGCGTGGCCAAGGCGGAAGTGGGTGTGGTCCATTTGTGGGCGGAATTGTGCTGATGGGTGTGGCTGGGGTGGGGCAGGTGACCAAGAGGCCGTGGGTCTGGCCGGTTTGTGCGCGCTGGAGGGTGTGGCCAGGGCGGGAGTAGTCATGGTCCGTTTGTGGGTGGAGATTGTGCCGGTAGGTGTGACTGGGTCGGGCAGGTGACGGTGAGGGGGTGATCTGGCAGGTTTGTGCGCTCTGGAGGGTGTGGCCAGAGCGTGGTGGGAGTGGTCTATTTGTGGGCGTGACCGGCACTGGTGGGCGTGGTCAGAGCGGGAGTAGGCGTGGTCCGTCTGTGGACAGGGTTTGTGTCGGTGGGTGTGCCCAAGGAGGATGAAATAGGGGCAGTGCAGTGCTGAGCAGTGGTCTGTCACTGGGCGTGGTCAGGGCAGGTTAGTAGGCCAGGCAGGGTAAAAGGGGTGTGGATGAGGCCAGGTGGGGCTAGGACTGTGGCTCTGCACAGTGTCCAGGGCTTCAGTGTGAGGGAATAGTTTCAGGGGACACAGCAGCCAGGTTCCAGGGAGAAACCAAGCTTACCTTTCAAACACTTTGGTCACGGGGCCGGAGAGGTAGATGCCTCGTCGGCAGCCTTCCCCAGCTCCATCCGTGACTACATAGAGCACCCCCAGACCCTGAGCACAGAGCCAGGAGACAGCCCTGAGCACCGCCACGTGTGGGGCAAAAACCAAAAAAAGATGAAAAATAAAATAAAAACCTCCAGTGCCGCAGAGATAGCTCAGAGCTGTGTTGTGCATGCAGGCTCCGCTGTGGGAGTGCTGGGCCCTCCCCGCTGGTTCCCAGAGCCCCAAGCCTGCAGAGCTAGGAGTAGTCCCTATTTATAAGCCAAATTGCCCCTGTGACTGTACAAAAGAGACCTCACTTTGCCTATGGTAACCCCGAAGGAAAAGGATCTTTTTCACCTTAGATCTTGTCAGCGACTGATGCTCCCCCAGCCCCTGCCCTGGCGCCGCCTCGAGGTCGTCGGGGGAACTGCAGGAGACGTTCCCTTTCTCCTCTGAGACTCAGCATCACCTGAGCATCTCCTGAGCCTTATTAGTGTTCAGGTTTTCCTGCCCAGTTCTGTGGAGGGGGGGAATGCTGTGTGCAGCTTGATGGGGCAGTTTCCACCTTTGCCCTGTGTCCTGGGAGAATCTTCATCCTTCTATATGAGACAGTATCCCCAACACGTAGCTGATCCCAACTGGGAAAATGGGGATGTAGGGGTGGCCCAGTGACCCTGAAAGGTTATGATCAGCCCCTCTCTCTCCCAGAAGTTAGTGCGACTGTGGGAATTCCCCCAGCCCCATCTCTTCCTTTGCTCCTGCCATGGTTGGCAGAAGAGGCCACAGCTGGTCTGGACCAGGCACGTGCTGAGCATCTGATCGGCCCTGGGGCACACAGTCTGTCCCGGGAGCAGAGCAGTGCTGGGGACACCCCTGTGCCGGGAGCAGGGGAAGGGAAAGAGGCTGGGAGGTGCTGGCTTGGTGCAGCTCCAGGTAACACCGTTTCACTCATCCTTGGTGACCGGGGTGGAGGCTCTGAGTCCCAGAGTTACACAGCTTGTCTGCTTCATGCATGAGCTGTACACACCTACCTTCCCAGTATCTCCCCCCTCGCCCACTTCCCCTCCCCCCCACACTTTGTACCTCATTTGGGGTTAGTTCTTCCCCAAAGTCCTGGCCAGCAGGAAATGACCCATTAGGAACTTCTAGCCTGATGGAGGGAAGCGGGGCTCATCTAGGAGGGCTGAAACCCGAGCGCTGCTGGGTAACTGGCTGTGCAAAGGTCCTGGGCGGAAATAAGATTAAGTGTATGAGGAGACCCCAGAAAGGGTCCAGATGGGGAGATGTCTGGAAGTGAGAAAGACTGGTCACTAGATGTGGGGAGAGGGACTTGGGGTCCCAGGATCCTTGAGGTGGCGTACGCTCCGCCCCCTGCACGCCCGCCTCTGTCCCTCCCATTTCAGACGCTGAGGCTGAGAGGGCCGAAGGGTTGGCTGAGCTTCATGGGAACCTTTGACTCCTCTTCAGAGCTGCCCCCTTGCCTCTCCTGCTGCCTCTCCTTTCCTTGTTGCTGCTCCCCGCCCTCCTCTGGCCTCCTTTCTTCCTCCAGCTCCTCCTGTTCTTCCTCTTCCTGCTTCTTATTCCCCCCAACCCTGAATCTGTTCCCTTCTTCTTCCTCCTTCCATATATGAAACATGGCTACCATCCCTGGCCAGAAGGGTACCCCTTCCCTTCCCTCAGCCTCAGAGACCCTGTGGCTGGACAAACCTTCTGTCATGGTCTTCATGCTGAAGACACTCCATGACCACCTCCGCCCACCCCCCCTAGTCCCCGCCTGGTCAACTCCTTGGACCCATGAAGTCTCTTGAGGGAGCCTTTTCTTGGGGGAGGGGTTGACTACACCAAGCAGTGCTTGGGCTGACTCCTGGCTTAATGCTCAGGGGTCACTCTTGGCAGTGCTTGGGGGTCCCTCTGGAGTGGCAGGGATCCAACTGGGGTCTGTTGTGTGTAAGTTCAGCAGCTTGTCTCTTAAACCATTTCTCCAGCGGGGGCAGGGGGAGAGGATTCTGTGAAATGTAATGAAAATGTAATGAAAAGAACAAGCTGATCATAATAGCCACTTTAAAAAAATTAGCATCTATTTGTTAACCCGCCTCCCCCCGCCATTTTGGGGGGCCACACTCAGCAGTGCTCAGCGATTACTCCTGGCTCTGCACTCAGGAATCACTCCTGGCAGGCTCAGGGAACCATATGGCATTCCGGGGATTGAACCTGGATCTACTGCATACAAGGCAAATGCCCTCCCTGCCATACCCTGGCCCTGGCCCATTAATAGACAGTTTAAAACGACCCAGCGGGAGGCTGGAGAGAAGGTGATAGAACCTGAGCACAGGCCTTGCCCCTGGGTGGTGTGAGTTTGACCTCCACCCAGTCCAGCCCTGAGACGGGCCAGAAGTGACCTGTGAACAGTGAGCCGGGAGCACCCCCCAGCATTGCCAAATATGTCCCCCAAGTCTCTGTGCCAGGATTTGGGCTACACTCCTCATCTCTTTCCTGATTTAGCCTGGAGCTAGGCTGGGTTTCCCAGGCCCTGGCAGGAATCGCAGACAGTCAGTGCCCGGCAGCTCCACTCGGACCACTTTCCAGTATAAGGGGTCAAGGGTCAGGGGGGCCATTGGAGAATGGGCTTAACTGGCCCCAGCAGGAAAGCAGAGGGGTGGGGGAGGGTTTCATGGATGGGTCTGGGAGATATGAACCCGTTTCCCCCCATCCACCCAGAAAAAACAAAACAAAAAACAAATTCTAAAGTGGGGAGTGAAGAGATAGTACAGGTGTGAGTCCAAACTGAGTCCCAGGATGCTGTGGGGAACAGGACACTTCTCCTCACTCCCAGGCCCCCCAGACTCTCCTGCTCCTGCTGGTTTCCAGGCTGCTGGGGAATCAGAACATGGTGGAAACCCAGGCCTGGGGTTCAGGCGGGAAGGGCTGTGGCTGGGAGAAGCAGGACATGGGCACTGCAACCATTTCCCCAAGGGCCCTAGAATCTCTGGCTTCTCTGCAAAGCCCAGGGTTAGGGAGCTGAGGGTGTGGCACCTGGTCCCGCCGGCAGAGCGCATGTCTGGGTGGGGTCTAGGCTGCACCTCAATGCTGCCATGCCGATGATGACTTCTCACTCACTGCCTGTGGGCATCTCACTGGGGGATCCTCAAAGTGTGAGGCACCCTCAGGACCCCCTTAAATAGAAGATATCCTCTAGAACCTACCAGGTACATTTCAGACTCCAAGAAACTGCTGAAATATGAGACACCCCCCGGGCCCTGAGTGCTGGTCAAGAAACTGTCTGTTGTCCTGGGATGGGGGGTGGGGGGGAGCTGGGAGGTGTCAGCACCAAGGAGCCAGGGAGAGCGGACAGGAGGATGAGTGTCAGTCCTGGTGACAACAAAAACAGCACAGAACTCCCCCCCTCCCTCCTTTCCCCACAGATACACCAGAGGGGAGAACTGGGCTGAGTGTCGGGGGGTACACCTGGCTCTGTGCCTAGGGCTGGCTCCTGGCAGAGCTGGGGGGGGGCCTTTGTGGTACAGGGATTGAACCTGGGTCAGTTGCCCACAAGTGCCTTTCATCACCTAAATGCCCTCCTCTGGGGAACAGCAACTGTGGAGGACGGTCCGGCTGGTGGAAGCAGAGGTCGCGCCCAAACCCCCAGGCAGTTCCCTAAATTATTCGCTTCCCCAAGGGTCCCCGACACTCCCCGGCATAAACCCTGATGACACTGTATGAAGGCGAATCCAGGAGAAACTGCTGGGGGGTTCCCTTGTGGGGTGGCCCACCCCTCTGTCTCCAACTGCCCTACAGAACTGGACCCAGGGTGGGAACATGTCACCCGGGGTGTGGGCTTGAACATGGCGTCCTGTCACACAGGACACTCCCCCCCATCCCCCTCGCCTCCCACCGCACGGATTCTGTAGCTCATGGAAAGGTGCTCTTGGGCGCGACTGGGGCATTAGGAAGTGGTGGGGAATGTGGCTGAAAGAATTAAGAAATGAGACACTGCAGTGACCCGAGGGGGCAGTAAGCATCCGCTCGCGCATTAGTGGTGGCTTTCTGCTGGTCACTTAAACACGGTCAGTGTAGGGGCCAGGGAGCGGAACGTGGGAATGCACTTGCCTGGCGCATGGTCAACCCGTGTTCAGTCCCCAGCACTGCATATGGCCCCCAGGCCCTCCAGGAGTGATCTCTG